TAAATAAACTAACTAAGAACATAGTTATGGTGAGCATGACTGCCTTTTCAGAAATTGTTTCATGGACCTTGGGTCAGGGGTTCTGGTGTTAGGGCAGGGCTCTATTGATTATATAGTAGAATTGCATTAATTCTTTGAAAATCTTTTTCTCTGCTCCTGGGTATTAAATAAACTAACTAAGAACATAGTTATGGTGAGCATGACTGCCTTTTCAGAAATTGTTTCATGGCCCTTGGGTCAGGGGTTCTGGTGTTAGGGATGGGCTCCATTGATTATATAGTAAAATTGCATTAATTCTTTGAAAATCTTCTCTGCTCCTGGATATTAAATAAACTAAGTACATAGTTATGATGAGCATGGCTGCCTCAGAAATTATGAATTTAATGGCCTCTGGGTAAGGGGTTCTGGTGTTAGGGCGGGGCTTTATTGATTAGATAGGGAATTGGCATGAATTCTTTCAAAATCTTGTGTGCACCTGGGTATTTTTCAAACAAAGGAAGTGCATGGTTATGATAAGGAAGAATGCCTCATGGCCTTTGGGTCAGGGGTTCTGGTGAGGGGGAAAGAGCTCTATTGATTATATATAGTGAAAATGCATAATTTCTTTCAAAATATTTTTTCTACTACTGGTTATAAAGTAAAGAAACAAGTGTATAGTTATAATGAGAAAGGGTGCTTCTTCCAGAATTGTGAGTTCATGGCCAATGGGTCAGATGTTCTGGGTAAGGATGGGGCTTTATTTATTTAATTTTATGGTGAAAATGCATTTCTTTGAAAATCTTCTATGCTTCTGGGGATGTTCAAGGCAAACAGAGTAAAAGTTTTAATATGCAAGGGTATTTTTACCAGATTTTTGAACACCTGGACCATTTAGTCAAGTGTTCTAGTCCTGGCCAGGGCTCTATTAACTTGTATTCTGCTGAGCAAAGTTATTCCCCTTTGCCATTCACCTTTGATAATTAATCAATGTAAATAATGTATTTGAAAGCTTAATAGAATAAGAGAATTATGCAAGATAATTTATTGTATAATGAAAATGTACTTTCATAGATTTAATGACTTGGAAAGTCAGATAGGCAGATAGATACTATACCAATTATTTTGTTGATGCTAATCATACTATTTTTCTTGCTTTTGGGCAACAAAGCTTCATTTTTCAGTTTATGGATCCTCTAAATTGTTGTATTGTACTCAGGTGACCGTTAAGGCCCTTGGGCCTCTTGTATTTAATTATAGCTTGAAATGGAGCATAAGTTGGCCATCAATAAAGAATTAGCCTCCAAGTACAGACAAGCTCAGAACGAGTATCTCACTCTGAAGGATAAACTCCTCAATAATTTTGATGACAGAGTCAAGCTGGAGGCTGCCATCAAAGACTGCAGACAGGTAAGAAACCGATCTAAACATTTCTGAAATATTGCAAAATACACATTAAATAGATCGAAATCATATTTTAAAGTGTAAACATACAATTTAATTTTTAAAAAAAGTCATACAGTCAAACCTAGTTATCTTGAACTCAATGGGACCAAGAACAAATATCGAAGTATCAAGGATTTGAGAAATCAAGGGTAAAAAAGAATAAACGGTCAGAATTCCAATCACTTTGACATATCCATAGTATTCGAGATATCAGTGTTCAAGATACCGAAGTTCAACTGTACTTAAATTCTCATTTTTTTAGAATGATGTTGTGTGGGTACAGAGAATTTTCATGTAAATCATTACATCTTTTCACCATGTGTAACTCTTTTCTTGCAGTTACAATCCTTACAGAAGAGAATGCATGCTGCCATGATGGAGTACTTCAAATACCGAGGCCTGTACAACCAATCAGAGCTCGGCAAGTTAGAGAGCGAGTCAATGCAAAACACAGACAAGGTCATAGAACTGCAGGAGGAAATGAATACGGCATTACAGAAAATTTCAGAGTTTCTAGAAACCCAAATGGATGGAAAAACTGCTCGTAAAATTGCCTGGGATGCCATAAAGAAGCAGCAGCTACAACAACAACAAAGACAGATTGGATCACTTCCTGTTATACCACCAATTAGACAGGAATCCATGGTTCAAGCCTGAGTATAGGGTGCCAAACTTTAAGAATTTCTGATACTTGTATGATGCCTGTGATACATGTTTGACAATGAGAGTTAACTTATTTTCAAGATTTTGTCCATGTGTGTCCAGTACTTGGTTTATGTTTGTCCTTAAAACTGTTTGTTTTTATTGTAATAGTCTATTATTTAATAAAAAATATACATGTAATACAATTTTTCCTTGTATGTAAGAGAATGCTGGAATGATAAAATAACCTGATTAAAGAGAATATTGTTGTGGAAGTCATCAAGTTCATCAGTATCCAGATATCAAATTGATAAACAGAGGAACTGATGGAAGCCAGAGAAAAATTCAACCAATAAGGATGAATTTTTTAGGCACATCAATTAAAATCCTTTATTCAAATATTTGAGGAGCACACTTCTGTGATTCAGACAAAGGTCTTGTGTGGCATTTCATTTTCAATAAAATCGGTTAAAGACAGTTTAACCATTTTTTATGAATGTCAAATAATGTCAGGAATTCTAAACCACACACAGTTTACAGCTTTAAATGACCCAGACAGCATGACTATGTTGGGCCAATGGTTATATGGTTGGCCGATAGTTGGCGTTGGGTAGACAATGTTGGGCCATTGTTGGACCAACATTACCATGTCAATCATCTCTTAGTACCCAAGCATGTTGGGATTCTTGTTGGCCCAATGTTGGTCCAGCATCAACCAATTCCGTTTTAATTGCTATATTTTCTAAGGAAGTTCGGGATCCAAAGTTGGCCCACCATTTGTAATGCAACCTTAATGGAATTGATAATTTAATCTTGTAACAGTATGTTGGCCCAATGTAAGCTTGAGTGTCATTTTTTTGAAAAAGTTTTCTTTTAGTTGTAGTGAGTACATTGGTCCAACGTTGGTTCAACAGTTGGACTTCAAAGCAAAGAATGATGTACATGAGTTGGGTGCGTTACATTAGCCCAACGTTGGCCCAGTGTTTGTTATACCCTAAGCCTAATTGAAGCTTCTTAAATAGCAATGTGAGTTTTATGAAAATGAGATTTAATAACATACATAACAAAATATACACATTAGCTGGATTTATTTTTTAAAAAACTCATGACGTTTCATTCTCATTCATGACGTAGCATAAAGCAACGTCAAAATTTTGCAACATTATCGTAAACTATGCTACCTTTACATTTATAAAAAACAAAACAAAACACACAAATACAGCTTTGTACAAGCATATATTGATAATTTCATGAAGATATACACTCTCTGAAAGAATTTTAAGGAATATCATTTAATGCCCTGTTCACACGGAGAGTTTAATTCGGATTAAATGAAGTTACTGCGAATTAAATTTGATCCGCGTTCACACGGAAAATTTAATGCGAATTAGTTTAATTCGAATTAATTTACTGCGCATTAAATTACTTCGCATTAGCTCCATGTGAACGCTAAGCGAAGCTAATTCGAATTAAATTTTGACGCATGCGTAATGGCAAAATTAAGTCACATGCCACATGTCGGTGGTCCGATATAGGTACTTCTGCTATTTTTAGTCAAAAACAAAGGAAAATTATGTTAATCAATGAAATATGTTCAGACACTGTGACGTTTTATGTGAAATGGATCTGCTCTGCATAAGGTGACGTGTTTTGAAAATGACGTCATAATAGCCTTGCTGAATAGCCTTACTGTAGAAATAAAATTTTACTTCGCATTAGTTTACTTCGCATTGGCTGTCGTGTGAACGCAATTTAATGCCCTGTTCACACGGAGAGTTTAATTCACAGTAAATTAATGCGAAGTAAAATGATGCGAATTAAACTAATGCGAATTAAATTGCGTTCACACGACAGCTAATGCGAAGTAAACTAATGCGAATTATAATTTTATTTCTACAACAAGACTATTCAGTGAGGCTATTACGACGTCATTTACAAATCACGTCATATTGTGCAGAGCAGATATACATTTGACATAATGTCATAGTGTCTGTACACATTTTAGTGATTTACATAATTTTCCGTTGTTTTCCACTCAAAAATAGCACAAGTACCTATATTTGACCATCGACATGTGGCCTGTGACTTAATTCTGCCCTTACGCATGCGTCAAAATTTAATTTGAATTAGCTTCGCTTAGCGTTCACACGGAGCAAATGCGAAGTAATTTAATTCGCAGTAAACTAATTCAAATTAAACTAATTCGCATTAAATTCTCCGTGTGAACGCGGATCAAATTTAATTCGCAGTAACTTACGTTTAATTCGAATTAAACTCTCCGTGTGAACAGGGCTTAATTCGCATTAATTTACTTCGCATTTATTTACTGCGAATTAAACTCTCCGTGTGAACAGAGCATAATTTTGACACGGGTCCGAATTTGGCATAAGACGCAACTTGTCCTTTTTCAATATTATCATACATCGGGATCGGTATACATATAACTAGAATAAGTGTTTACTTCAAAGCACGTGTGTTCGTGTCGTGTACAGACTGATTGTTAAGGTAAAAAAAAAAAAAAAAATACGTGTTAAGTGACAGAAAATGGCAGATTGAGACTATAAAACCAATATCATGAAATTTTTTTACGCCGATTTTTTAAGTATGATACTGTAGTTGAATCAATGCATGATGCCAATGTTCTCGTCCTCAAAAAAAGACTCGTCTTGCATTCTCCCCAATTTTTTTTCAGCTGCTATTTTTCGCAATATTTCGATATCTTTTTATTGGTTATTGATTCATTTAAATCCCTTACTTTTTTCCCATCATAGGTTACAAATAATGAGGTTGAAACAAACCGCACAATACTGAAGAACAAACCTATGGCTATGTTGACAACCAGTTAAAGGATGTGTAAATCGTGAAGAAAAAACTCTTTTTTAATCTTTTCATAAAAGTAAATCTGAAAGGAATATAATAATTGTGATTTCAATTCAATGAAGTCGAAGACGAAAGAAAGAGAGAAAGTCAAAAACACCAAACAAGCACTGAAAGCAGCATGTGTAGAAATAGGGGGTGCAGAAAAATTACCTGAGAATGACGGTAAAACTCACAAATCAAGAAAGAAAAAGGCAGGAGATCCTGAATCAATTACAAATGAAGCCACACAATGTAAACATGAGAATGAAAGTAAAAACCAATTGTCAGATGTAGTGCCATCTGGCAAACGGAAAACGGACCAGTTATCAGAAAAGAAGCAAAAGAGGGCAAGGAAAGATGAACCAAAGTCAGTGGCTAAAGAAATTATAGAGAGTGTGTCATTTGATATAGCAAAAGAAGATACAAAGAGCCAAAGTTCAAAAAAATCAAAGGCAAAAAAGAAGAAATCGGAATGCATACATAAAGAAAACAGTCAGGAAAGTACAATTGATTTGAAGGAAAATGTGGGATCAGAGGAAGATGAAAATGATACAGAAATCAAGCACAAGAAAAAAGAGAAAAAGATGGAAGGAAATGAATTAGACAAAATCCCGACAAGGACAAAAAGCAAAATGGAAAGGAAAAGAAAGCTAGTGAATGAAGCAGAAAATGAATTTGTTGTTGAGAGTGATAGTGGAAAAAATATTGAACTTAATCAAAGTGAGGAACCTACATCAAAGAAGAAAAAGAAGAGAAAACTTCAAAATATAGAGAAAGAGGCAGCCGAAGATGAAGAAAACAAGACTGTGCTAGGTGAAGGAGGAGATAGCAATGAAGTGGAAAAAACGAATATCACAGAGAGTAAAAAGAGTAAGAAGAAAAAGAGGAATGAAGGAACGGATCAGACAGATGAGACATCATCCGACCCAGAGCAAAAGGCCGACAAACTGGCATCAGAATACCTGCATCAGTGGTCAAACAACAGAGAAAGCTGGAAATTCCAGAAAGTCAGACAAGTGTGGCTACTGAAAAATATGTACAGTGAAAATAAGGTATTAGAGTTTATTTAAATATCTCATCCACAACTTGTCTTTTGAATTGGCATACTGAACCATTTTGATTCTATCTTTTGCATATACTGGTATTTCCAATTTGAATTTAAAAAGAAATATTCATTAAACCTTTGGAGAAACTCAAAATTTTCAGTGGTCTATTTATAGGTAACCAAAGAGGACTTTACAGTACTGTTGTCATATCTGGATGGAATGAAAGGAAGGTCAAGGGAGGTCACTGTGGAACAAGCAGAAAAAATCATAGAGGAGGATGGAGACAAAGATGGTAAAGTTTTCATCAGTTAATTTTTGCAAACTTAATTTAGATATACATGTATTCCTTAAGAAGACAAAAAATATTAAAATACACTTACCAGTATTGTCAAAATTTTTATTTTATTCTTGCACTAAACTGTAACAGTTCAATGCTTCCATATGTGTTGGAAGGTAGGTTGATGAAGTAAATAAGACAGAGTGATCATTTTTATGTCATTTGGGGAAGGTAGGGGGTGGGGGCTTAGATTGTGTGATTCAGTTTGACAATGCATTTATAATTTTCTTTTACAGAGGTAGACCAAGTAAAGATTGAAAGAGCAAGACAGATTGTACAGTTATTAACTTGAATTTTATAATGAAAGAAAGAACAAAAGAAGATATTTGCCGCTTTTGAAAAAGTTGAAGAATAGAATTCAGTTATGTCTTTAGTGTACAGGATTAACATAGCACCTCTTACATTATTTCTGAAATACAGAAACCAAACATTTTCTGTCAACTTTGAAAGATTGATAATTTTATTATGCTCTTTTTAGCTCACCTAAGCTGAAAGCTCAAGTAAGCTTTTCTGATCACCTGTTGTCCGTCCGTCTGTCTGTCTGTATGTCCGTAAACTTTTCACATTTTCAACTTCTTCTCAAGAACCACTGAGCCAATTTTGACGAAAATTGGTACAGAGCATCCTTGGGTGAAGGGGAGTTTAAATTGTTGAAATGGAGGGCCAACCCCTCTTACAAGGGGAGATAATTAAGAAAAGACAAAAATAGGGTGGGCTGGGTCATTAAAAAATCTTCTTCTCAAGAACCACTGGGCCAGAAAAGCTGAAACTTATTTGGAAGCATCTTTGGGTAGTGTAGATTTTAAAATTGTTCAAATCATGGCCCCAGGATGTAGGGCGGGGCCACAATAGGGAATCAAAGTTTTACATTGAAATACATAGGCAAAATCTTTAAAAATCTTCCTCTTAAGAACCACTGGGCCAGAAACACTGAAATTTATGTGGAAGCATCCTTGGGTAGTGTAGATTCTAAATTGTTCAAATCATGGCCCCCGGGGGTAGGGTGGGGCCACAATAGGTATTACAAGGGAGGGGGGTCTGGTGAAGAACAGCAGGGCCAAAGTAACTCAGGTGAGCGTTATGGCCCATGGGCCTCTTGTTTATGAAAACAAATTAGCACTGCTATTTTGAATTTAATGGTAAGAGATTTCATTATTTTACTTTTTTAAATTAATTTTTATTTAACGGAATACAAAATTAAAAAAGAAATCTGCACAGTATAGTAAAAATATGGTATTATGATTATATTGACAGTTATGTTGAGGGCACACAAGCCCGAGAGCAATATCAGACATGTATCCTTTCATATACATATACTGTAAAATCATTAATTTTAGTGGGGATAATTTTCATTGTTTTCCGTGAAATGAAGAGACCAAAGAATTCATGTCCACCATGATGCACTTCTTTTGGCATGAAATGAAATCCCCATGAAGCTATATTTTTTCTAAAACCACCAAAATTTGACCCCATGAAAATTAGTGATTTTTAAATAACAGTCCTGTCCAAATAAACTTGGCTCAGGGCCATCACACACCCTCATGCTGTAATCAAACTGTGACCAATAAGAGGTTCTACCATCTCTGCATTAAAGTTATGCAGACAAAAATTTGCACACATTATTACTTTCACCTTGATCTGGTCTAAATGACCTTGGCTTATGGTCATGACAAATCTTCAGTTCATAATCAACCTATTTCCCAAGTATGGGCTTCTGATCTTTTTACATCAAGTTATGTAGCCTGGACAAGAACTTGGATGTGGGACAGTCATATTAGCTGATTCCTAAATGTCTTCTCTCCTGTTCTGTAACAGGAGAGGAGAAAAATGCAATGTACCAGACTGGGGTTCGAACCTGGGCACCCTGAATCTCCAGTCAGGTGCTATACCAACTGAGCTATCTGGCCACTTGCCATCAAACCTGTCTGACTGGCACATTCCTCCTTCCGTAAAGGTCTTTGGCCCACTAAGATGCCAACCCAGGCTCTTCTCTGGCAGGTCTTTCACCTGTCACTTCCAGATTATGGCAAGGCACCAAATATGACAGGACAGGAGAAAAATGCAATGGACCAGACTGGGATTCAAAAACAGGCCCCCTGTATCTCCAGTCAGGTGCTCTACCAACTGAGCTAATTGGCCACGGGCAATTGAACCTGTCTAACTGCTACAGTCTGTTAAGAGTATAAATAATCAGATGTGATTATTAGTATAAAATCAAGTCACCTTTGTCCTTTTCTAAAAATAAAAATTGATATCTTAGCATACACAACCAGCAGAAATTGTAGGAAATGATTTGATGTTGGTGTAGCAGTAAATTACATGTATGTGACCTTAAATCAATATGCAAACCTGTGTATATAGTTTGACAACTGTCAAGCAAAGAGTGCCCAAGATATTGGTCAGAAATCATGTAACTTGGTATAATGGAAAATCAGGTGACCTTTGGTCAGGAAATGACCATGAGAAAACTTTGCAGCATATGGTGCTGTAAATACATGTAAGTGATAACAAGACCTTCCATTTGCTCAAAATCACATTATTTATTCCCTCAAAAATCAATTCCAGCATAAAATATAAAAAAAAAACCTCTGCTGTGCAGTAAAGCTTTGTGGTGCTTTGACATTACACAGCAATTCAATGATTAATAAAAAAAAAATAATGAGGCTCACTTTGGTTATATATCTGGTACACAGAAATAAATGTAATCAAATACTGCACAAGTAAAATATGTTCACTCTCTTCGGAATGCCTAATTATGTTAATACATCTTAAAAATGTGAGTCAATTTTATTTTTAAGGAAAATTATATTTTGTTTGGTTTTCTTTATGAAATGACAAATTAAAGAATTTTTCTATTGGAAATGATTATTGTTTTTACTGCAAGTAATCTACTTCTTTAGAAACAAAAAAACCCACATTCTATTAAACATTCAATCAAGTTTTCCTCATGATGCATTTGACAGAATATAAACCTTAGAAAATGAAAACAGAGTGATTTCATAATTGTATATTCTATAAAAAGAAAAATAATTAAACATTGGGAACTTACAATATCTGCCCACTGCTTATAAATCTACAACAAATTCTACAACTGTAATACAAAAATATTGATGTAAAGCATTTTCCTTATTTGGTAGGTATGAATTGCACATAGATGAAAGCCTCATTTTATATTTCACCTACAGTAAAACTTGCCTAAAACCAGCCGTCAGGTAAACAATTCACCAGGTTAGACAATATCCGGATTAGAGAATGTTCTAGACAAATTAAGAAAATATTTGGGGACTACAATATTTTGCCAAAGTGCACAACACCTTGAGTTTTACTATACACGTAGCGGATTCTTGCTGTTATATACATGTACACATATTTTTATGAAAAAAACCCTAGTACATGTATTTTAATTTTTATAACAAATTTAATAACAAAGAAAAAAATACATTAAAAAACAAAAGATATCATAAAAGTAGTTTTATAAACATGCAACTTTTGCACTAAAGCAGTAAATCACACCTACCCTACTAATACCCAAAAAGTATTACAAAATGAAAAATTTAAACATGACAGTTGTAAAATTGTTTCAAAAAAGTATTCTGTCAATAAACCAATGTTATGATCCTAAGAAATGGCAGATAAATAATTTAGATTAATTCTTATAAAACGATAAAATCATTAATACAAGCATGAAAAGATTTGAAGTTGTGTCATAAAATTCCTGAGGCGAGCATGGCATAAAACCAAGAGCAAAGTTGTGTGCAATCACAGTACTATCCCAGTGTTGAGATCACTTTAAGTCATTCAGAACTTTCTTAACTTCCTCAAACACCTGTAATGAAATAAATACATGTATCTGTACTTAATTTTGTTTGATAATCTACATTGTTACAATCTTGTAAGCTTTCACCTGTTAACTGTTAACTCAAAAAAAGAAAGAAAAAAAAACACCTGCAGACCTTTGGCAAATTTTTTACACTTTCAAGCCCTGTTACCTTGACTTATGTAAACAAATAGAAAACTTTATTGTTTCAAAATTTGTGTTCTATATATAAGTTTCTCATATACAAAGATATCACCTAAACACAAAGTGGGATTTCAGATTGACAAAGCAGGCATTCTGATTCTATACATGTACCCCCTACCCCTCCCTTAACAAAATTGTTTCATGGGACTAGCAATGTTGTGGATTTCTGAGGATTTTAAAAGGTATTTTACACTTGTATTTTCTTCAAACACTTACCTCTTCTGGGCTTTTTTCAGCATGTATTTCACTAACTAGGTTCAACTTTCTATAATGTTCTATGATATCCATTGTGGATTCATTATACGTTTTTATCCTGAAAAGGTAGAAAATATATCATGTTCTTGTATAAGGTAACCTTCATTATGACAAACTTGACATCCTGATCCACAAGGATTAAACTGAGGGATGGGTATGGCCAATAGGGTTTGAAAATATGGCTACACATTTTTCATTTTTATTTATGTAGTAGTGAAGTATTTTTGGATGCAAGGATGCAGTTGTTTTACTGTTTTACATTTTACAATTCTGGTAATTGTAATTCAAAAGCCTGAACAATAAAATTAATTATTTCCCATATTTATAATTATGTACTAAATACCATTATTTTTGTCTTTGTATCAAGATACATGCCATACAATAAAAAAAATCATGATATACCAGTATACAGATAAAATTGTGCATCCCTAATTAAACTCTTGAGGACTATTTTTGAAATGAACTTAGAACAAACATTAGGAGTAAAATTGATCAAAGGATATAATGATTACTGATTATATATTTCTTTTTTCTTTCTAAACATTCAGACAAAATCATAAGTATGTAAAAATATTTTGCAAATGAAAAAATAAAAATTTACCAACCCAATGCATTAATTACCTCTTCTTAAGACTCTCTTCATTATCGTCTGTTCTTCCGCTGGTCTTCCCTCGAGACAAACACCTCTCCACACATACCTATGAATACATGAGACTGCTTGAGAGAAACAAAATCAAACTATTGTAATTTTTCATGATATATAAAACTAATTACCCGGTAAGGGTACATTCAAGTTAGTGAAGGTGTTATACTGTACATTTACAGTATAGTTTTTGTTCATATTTGAACAACTTTGGTATCTTTAACATCAATACATCAGATATCATGGATATGTTGAAGTGAGCTTATTCTGAAAGTCTGAACCACTTTGTCTTCATGTATTTTAACCTCATTTACTCAGGTTCTCATGAATCTCAAATTTTTCTCTCAAGATAACCAGCACTGAATGTACACATTATTTTGTACACACACATCCTTTGATATATTATGTTCATGCATGAACAATTTATTCTGTGCACATAAATAACCTATCATGCAATCATAAACCTATTCTCTGCATAAAGAATTTATTCAGTATACATCCAATATACTTTATATAATAATTTCAAGATGAATTATCCTTTATGTAATATATAAATAGAATTTTTAAAAAATATTACACACCTGTTCTGAACAGTTAAAAAACAGCACTCGTATAACTTTGGCAACATCACTCATTTCTTTATTCCAGCCATCTAAATTGTCACGATTCCTCGGAAATCCATCAATTAAAAATCTATTCTTGCCACTGTTTTCCATGGCCTGTGATTTGATAAAAACAGTGGTACATATATGTGTCAAAATAAATAAATATAACCTTATTATCCTTATATAATAGTCTTGAAATATACTAGATTGTTGTATCTTGGATTTACTTTGTTCTGCATTCTACATTGAAATAACTTCAAATTTTCCTTCAAAAAGTAATGCTTTGTAATGAAAATAAAAAAATTTAAAACAAAATGATAGTTGTAAGAAAATGTATTTTACAGCATAGTGCACACTATACTTAACTCTTTTTAGTAGAGAGCAAGTGATCTGGACAGGGACTATGGTTCCATTCTTTATGTGGCCATCTATCTCCTCCCCAAACTGGGACCCCGGACGCTGTCTCTCCTCCCTCAAAAGGTCACCTGCTGATAAATGCACATAACCAAAGTCCTGGAAAAACAAATATTAATGTTAAGCTTTTATTCATTTAAAACCTGAATCCAAGCATTTAAAAATGTTAAGGCCAACAATAAAAAACGATTCGTTAGATGTACAGTACTCCTATCAACCCATCAAAACCACCCAATCCAATCACTTTTTTTTCAGTACTTTATATTCTTTTTTTTTTTTTTTTTTGGTTTCTGTGAAAATGCAGATTATCTTCATTGCTTTGAAAGTTAGGGTCTTTCATTTTTCTAAAATGCTTTTTTATACTAAAAAGTTTCAATGTGTACAGCTGAACTAAGAACTTAGTCACTTACCCTGACAATATATTCACACTGTGTACCTTTCCCTGCTCCTGGTCCTCCCAGTACAAATATCACATTATATTTTGCCATGTTGTGAACAACCCCACTTAGGGAGGAATACTGGGTTTGACAAAATCTACTTATTGTACTCAGGAGGGGGTTTTGCAATTGTCTCAGTAGTCCAATTTTGGAGCCTTCAGTTTAAATCTGAAATATAATCAGAACACTTTTGTTAGCCATGGAATAAAAAAGAAGTCACTGACTGCAGGTGAGACAGTGTCTCTACTGGTTTGAACTTTTAACTGTTGAAGAGAAGTTGCACCAACAAAATTATATATCTTGCTGTATTCTAAAGAGTAAGGTTCACTTTATGCATAAAATGGCCCTGTAGATATACCAATTTATTGACTAATACCCCGTGTACCATTTTCAACATTCTTATAAAGTAGACACTTAGTGCTTTCAGTTTATACAACAGAATTTCCTTTGAAGAGTCCAGGCATTGAAAAACAGGTTGTGTGAAATTACAATGTTATTGAATTTCGCAGAAAACAGGTGTTTTTGAGAACCTTCAGCAAAGGATTAAAATATGAGCACACCCCTCGATCCAAAAATTAAAATATGTTTTATAATCTTCATTAACAGTTCTTTTACAATATATTTACACATTTTGGATCGGAGGTTGTGCTGTATATGAAATATTGAAAAATGGCAGCATAATTTGGCTATTTTTGAAGAAATATTCAGGATATGTGAATAATGACGCAATTCATGACGTCATAATGCATTGACTAGAAAGAAAATTACGTCATTTTCAGTAGATATTCATTCACCAAGTGCTCAAGTATTATTCATTGCCTTGTTGACTAAAACTATACAGTTTTGAATTTTCAGAAATTCACAGGGCCAAAAAAGGCCCTAAGTGGCTCTTGCTCTTTCCATAAATTTTAAAAGTTTATTCAAAGTTTTACTAAGGAGGAGTATCATTTATTAAAAAAAAAAAGAGAAAAAAAAAATAGAAAGATTAATCTACTCATATAGTAACTCTAGTTACGACATTTTTTTAAAATTAAAATTAAAAAGGAAACAAATAGCTACGGAACAAATCTAAGGATAAACCCCAGGCACTTTATCCTACATACTAAAATAGAGTGGATTCTTTAAATTTCTTTATTATCTGAAATAGATTATGTCTTTCATTCTTTCTTCTTGGAAATCCCTCCTGTGTTAGGAGCACCCCCAGTTTATAACAAGAAGCCCAAGGGCCAAATTGCTCACCTGAGCACTTTGGCTAGGAAAAAGCAGAAATCAGTTCAGTATTGAAAAGTTTAAATATAAAAGGGGTTGGGAGTTGGGGGGGGGGTATGATTTGAATGAACTTGAAACTACACCACCGAAGGATGCTTTTGAAGATGAAAATGTGAAAAGTGCACAACAACGACAGGCAACAGAGAAATTTCGATCAGAAAAGCTCACATGAGCCTTCGGCTCAGATGAGCTAAAAAAGGTAAATATGTTTAAATCGTACATCTATTTTAAAAAAAGACTCAGGTTATCCAGCTATGTAAGGCTTTAAAAATATCTATTGTTGATACCTATTTAAATTTGTGTCATAAAATAAAGACTTTGTGGTTGTTAAAAACAATATTGAAGCATCTGTAAAAGCTTATTGATGTGAGGCAAAAAAAAAATTATAAGTAGTTTATAATAAAACTTAAAACAGGATGTGTGTTAATAATAACATTTTTACAATTGTAAATCTTATAATAACAACTGTTGAGAATTTATTCTTATTAAGAAGTATTGCCTATATTTAAGATGGTAAAATATACCTGGTAAGTTACACTTATCATAGACTACTCTACCAGCTTACAATATGTGTGCCAGTCACCTGAATCACAATATCATACCAAGTTTTACTATGCTACAAAGAATTTTGTCTTATGTTCTTGTGTAATAATTTCTATTTGTTCTGCATTTGTCAAATTGTTAATCTGATACATGTACTAGAAAACTACATATAAATCAAGAGAATGTATCAGCGCGAATTCAAAGCACCTTTTTTTTCATCAAAGGCATATTATACACCTATTTACTGGCTATGAGGACAATGGCAAATTTATCATCCCCCAAGACAGCGACTATTTCTCGAGGCGCAGCCGAGGGAAATAGTTGCTGTCGAGGGGGACGATAAACTTACTATTGTCCTCATAGCCAGTAAATAGGTGTTTTATTATACCGAAGCCGACTTTACTTTTGTTACGTCACAAACCAGATACGTCACAATACAACAACCCATATACCGGGTAGTTTTGAGATTAAGGTAGAACCTATGTCGGAAAAGTCTTTGTCACAAGATTTTCAAACTTTTCAAAATGATAAATTAGCTCTCGCTTATCAATCAGCTAAAAATATATGGTATGTTTCTTCGTTATTAAATGTAGTGCAGTCTGTGAGACTTGGAAGGATAATTTTACACAGCGACTACATATTTTCAGCCATTTTTAGGGGTACTGGTCATAAAGAGAATATAATAAATCACTAAAATACTTCTTCAAACATCGTCGTTTATAGACTTTATTAACTGAACCATATTAAGCAATATTATTCAAGAATAAATTCTTTTTTATTCAATTGACATAAAAGATTAAGTCCACATTTCAACGAATATAGGCAAATGTGCTCAATATTTTTTGAGTCAATTTACCACCTAAATTTGTAAATATTTTTCAAAAGTCTTTGTCAGAATGTTTTCAATCTTTAATATGATGAAGAACATACCCAAATAATTACAAAAAGTGATTAAAATATATACCTTTCCCCACAAACGAATGAGAACATTCTATTTATCCATACTTCTTTTGTTGACCTTTTTGCACTTACACAGGATTGAATTATTAAATTACTGTTTTGGGGTTACGTTCAGATTTACAATGTGAATATTTATCAAAAAATGTATTTTTTTATTTTAAAAAAATATATTTTCGGGAAACATTATTATTATACACCAACCATTATGAATAATTAACAAATAATTATGAAAGGGAATGCACGTCATTTCATGATAGACATTACAAAATTTACACACAATTTTTAACAGATCTTTGACTCAGACACTTTTCATCAAGATTTTGTACTATTTAGATTTCTTAGGATTTTTGCTTTCCTTCAAAATAGTTGCATGTCATTCACATTATCACAGTTGTGTATAACTTCATTACATGAGACATTCTTGAAGAAACTACAGGAAAAGTAACATTAAATTAATTATGACGTCATAATTGATCTAGCAGTCTAAACTAATTTTCTCAGTATGACGTCATACGACGTAGGTTCTACGTTAAAAACGAGGGAAATGGAATGCTTCCAGTGAATAGTTTGATGACTGTTTTACCATGGGCAAACAGCACAAAAACTATTCCACGGTAGGGGCTGTTTAGAAAAAATAGATGATTTATTTGTCATACTTTTGTGTAGAAAAAATTCACAGAGGTATAATAGTAAATTTTATCAGTAAATTGCAAATAAATCAATATAGCCCTAGATTTAAAAAAAAAATCCCACCACTTTCTATGTATATAGATTAAGAAGGGGTGGGATTTAGATTGGCCTCACTGTATAATAACTGCAACATTGATAAATTTCAGTTGCCTGTGTTTTAATCTAAAAGTTAATTTTCAACACTTAGTAAATTTACTTTGATGTACATAAAAATCATACCAATATATACAGACTGCAAAAAACTGTCGGTTTTGTTACACGAGTACTTGGATTAGGTAAACTTGCAACAACAACTTCCGGTTTATTATACGGCAACTCGTTCGTGGCTTGTTTCTTTCATATTGATTTAGTCTTATGGGCCTGTTCTAGAAAAATCATAAAAAGGTTCATCCATATACTAAATAGCCTGGTTCTCGAGACCTTCCTATGTACACACAGTCGAGATTAATACAATACAATACAATATTTTATTGGCACAAACCAGGGACCTATATACTACCAGTATATAGGTCCCTGCACAAACACATTTACAATAATTGGCAAAGGCACAACATATAAGAATCATATAAATTGTTCATACATTTATACAGTTTAGTATAAAAACAATGGATCAATAAATTAAATTTAACTGACAAACACTTTATCATTACTAAAAATTTGATAGTTTTTTTTTTAAATAGTGAAAATTACACAACGGTTTTAAATTCGTGGGGAGATGACCCAAAGATAGCAAATTTATAGAAAAGGTGTTTTTAAAATGTCTATCAAATGATTAATCTAGGCATGTTTCTTTGCATATTTTAGCAAATCAAAACTCAATATCAGGAAAATATTTTTCTTATATCAAGGGATCTTGGTATATCATTTATAGAATGCTAAAGTATCATTTAGAGGATCAATGAAAATGTTTACATTCCTGCCGAATCCATATTAAATGCGCCCACATTCTTTGCGTAGATTACTAATTTCAGGCCCGTAGGAACCGGGAGGGGCCCCGAGGGAAGCGTGCCCCCAATAACTTTACCTGTACGTATTCTTTAGAATAGAAAACAAAAAAGTTAATTTACAGCTGTGCCCCCTCTGTAGCAATGTCAGCTGCACAGGTGTTGGGGACGGGATCCCCACCCACCGGCATTCCGTACCCAAAGGGTTCTTCGATTTTTTTTCACAAAATGTTTTCTTTGACACATTCAAAACGTATTAAAATTGAAAAATACTAGATATATATATAACCAAAAACTAAACTTTCATACAAATTCACACTCTCTGATACGAAAAGAGAATTTTTAGTCCCCCTCCCCCCCCGCACCACCAATGAAATTACTTCCTATGGGGCTGACATGGAACACCGCAATTTGTTGTGTTCATTTCATGTTAATTCCAACGAAAGATTATTTCGAAAATAGCATATATATATATATATATATATATATATATATATATATATATATATATATATATATATATATATATATATATATATATATATATATATAGTGTATTGTCGCAAGGCACAGGATTTATGTCTATTCTATTTCCACAAATCCGGACTTTGTGGAAATAGAATGGACACAAAACTTGTGCCTTGCGATAATGATATACAGTGCTGATTAAAGAATCCTGCAAAACTATGATGGGTGAGGAGTGTAGTGGAAGAGGACATTGAATGCATAGATCGCTGCTGATCTGTAGCTCGCTGGTCTGAAAAAAGGATAGGCAACCAGTCCCAATTTTTTCCAGACCAGCGAGCTCAGATCTGCAGTTAATACATAGAGTGTGCAGATCTCACAATCTGATTAAAATACAGATCTCTACAATAGCGCAAAGTGCGCTTTGCAGTATTGTAAAAATCTGTATTTTAAGGATATCCGCTCCCAAGCCAGGAAGTATAACTCTTAAAATCATTAATAAATTACAAAAGTCTCAAAATAAAGCTTGAAATTGAAATCTTTTCGTGCAACAATTTTCATTTTATGCAACCCAATATAATTTATGATTCTTTAAAGTCTTAGAAACTGTCTCATAAAAAGTTGACATTTGTATCTCATATAGGTACAACGATAAATACATGTACATTTTTAGAGAAATCAAACATTTAATCCAGCCTTATATACCAATGCTTTTTAGCATGATATGAATTAGGAGTAATCTGTGAAGTCTTCCAATGATAGCACAAGCCTTTTACATTATTCGTGATAAAACAATTGAAGTAAATAAAAGAAATAAAATACTGTAAAAGGAAACAAAAACATGGAATTTTCTCGGAAAGCCTTGATACCTATAGCCTTTTATTCTAAAATATATTTGTTGATCAATTTGCAGTTAGAAAATACAAAACTAGTGCTTTCATTCACATTTTCTGAAAATATATTTGAGATTTTACTTTGCATATACATGTACATGTATAATATGATTATCTATAATAATGAACTTTGAAGAAATACCATGGGTAAAAACGCATTACTTTATGATTTCGGAGACATTTTTGGGAGCATTTTCAATTACTTAAATACTGATTTTCAGAACCTGAGAATCAGAGTACCTTAATCAGATTAATGATCAAACCTGGTCAGTCAAATTCAAATTTTAGTTACCTCATGTTCTAGTATTACAGGAAGGATTTTTTCTCGTATTTATTGTATTTAAAAATGAAATTTTCATACATTCGAGAAGACAGTGTCATTAAGCGATGGTATCAATTGAATCAAATTTGACTGTCTTATTTTAGCAACAAGGTCAGGTCAAGGTCATTATCCTTTTCCTGGACATTAAGGGAAAACATTGATGATAATCATGTGATATCCATTTCTTTTTTAGATTATTAAATGCTTTTTCTTTTAATATAGAAAGATGGAATAATATAAGATCTATCAGATAACACCATCAAATTGATAAATGATAATATAAATAAGATAAATAGGGTCACCCCAATTTGTGAGGAGGAAAGAAATATACATGTCTGACCGTTTAATTCTCTAATATTTCGAAGTAAAAAACATTTTAGCAAATATAATTTGAATATTTTAATTAGTCAGAAACCAGACAATTATTCCCCCTTCCTTAACATGTAGTTCTTGCTTCTTAGATATGGCAAGAAAATGTGACGGGATAGACAGAAGAAAAGGCAAGAATATGCATGAATATACTGGTGTAACTATTTTTCTAATCTCATTTAAGTGGCTTACCAGTTGGATGTACCATAGACCTAAGTGTATGGATGTAAATGTTTCTGTAATTTTGCACAATTCTATGTCAAAGATGGGATACCGTAGTACTATACCAGTATACACCGGTAAATGTGCATCTGCAAAGTATAAATCGAAAGTAGGAAAAGTGGGCGCCAAACCAAAAGATGGCTTCCGAACCTTTGAGTGCAGAATATGCCAAATCGGGGAAAGCAGGTTGTAAAGGATGCGGAAAATCCATCAACAAGGGTGAACTTCGTGTAGGATTTGTGGGCAAAGCGAACTTCGGTGCTACTGCGTGGTACCACTACGACTGCATCTGGAAAGACGTGGAAAACCTTAAATCTGTCGACGCCACAAAGACTGCGAAGCTTCTGGTCCAAAATTATGATGAATTAAAGGACGACGACAAGAAGAGGCTGAATGATGATTTGCCAAAATTCTGCAAAGAGGCCGCCGAGAAAGCGAGCAAGGCGGAACCAAAAGTCAAGACTGATATGGCAGCAGAATATGCCCCGTCTGCGAAATCGAATTGTAAAGGATGTTCGAAAGCAATTGAGAAAGGCGCGCTTCGTGTTGGGTTCCCAGGAAAAGCCAATTTTGGAGCTACGGCGTGGTACCATTACGACTGCATATGGAATGAAACGTCATATTTGGCACCGATAGATACTTCTAAAAGTTTGGAAAAAGTCGTGGATGGATTCAAAAATCTGAAAAAGGAAGATCAAACAAAACTGCAAAAAGATCTGAAGAAAAACTGCGAAACGGCAGTGAAGAAAGAATCTGAGCCTAAACCCCCATCTCTGAAAATGGCTGCAGAGTATGCAAAATCCGACAAATCAGAATGCAAAGGATGTTCCAGCAAAATCAACAAAAATACCCTGAGGGTGGGTTTTACTGGGAAGGCAAATTTTGGCGCCGTGGCATGGTATCACTTAAATTGTCTGAAGAAATGTCAGAAGGAGTACTTAGAAGGCATCAAAGCAGGCGAGCCAATAAAAGGTGTCGTGGATGGTTTCGACAAACTGAATAAAGATGACCAAAAGAACGTAGAGAGCGAAGTAAAGGCATTATTGCCAGGAGCACCAAAACGAAAGTCAGAGGGTAAGATTCTGTGTCATTAATGCTTTAATAGTGTCTTTGATATTAACGAATGAAACTGTAATTCCATGCATTGAACTCTGATATTTGTAAGTATTTTTTATTTTTAGGGGATTCAAAAAACCGGTTAAACTTTTCTATTGAATTCGGGATTATTTTCTCATTTTTTTATTGTTCAAATGTACTAGTATATGTGTGAATATTTATGTCATTACTATTATTTTTAGGTGGTGAAAAATCCGTTCCTGCAAAAAAGGGCAAAAAATAGAGGAGTGTTGACTTTTTATCAAAGATATCTCCTCTTTATATCATTGTAAAACTCTGTTCACATGCGTGCAATAACGAAGACTGTTTTTGAAATAAAATAAACAAGTAGAACTTGAGTTCAAATATTTTAAATGCAAGTTCATAGTGCAGGAAGAACAATCCAAATTTATGCCTCCTTGTTATGAGTGATGTTCTCGCTGACATACTACTTAATTCTCAAATGACAAAGACCTGATTATATCATGAAAAGTGATACAACAGGTTACGACGACTCTCAATGCACATTTCTTGTACAGATACTAGTATTCTTAAAAGTCACAGGGAACATAATTTTAGGCGCCAGCAACTTTATTTGTTTATTGAAAGACAACTTTGTTGAAAGCATTTTTTGGCTAAAAGGTTAATTGCCCTACGCCGGAATTTTCGGTTTAGCAAAACTTTGGTCCAAAGATGACATACCGAGATTACAGTAAATACGACTCTCTATCTTTAGGTATTCAATGTATAACGACCATATTTTGTACCTAATAAATGAATGGTCCGAAATGATTAATCAAGGTAACATTTTGAAGGTGTTATGAAATAAACATACCCCACCAAAGGAATTTACAAAATTTTATTTACCGTCCAATTAATTGCATCTTAAATTTTACATTGACGTCTATGGGCAGCGCATGTTTCACTAAGATATTGTAAAAAGTAATGTGAATTTCATACAAATCTCTTGGTGAAAATATACATAGATTCCCTTTTTATTAAAATATGAAATAAAATGAATCATTTACCACAGATGTTTTGACAAAATTAAAATTTTCTTCTTTTCATCAAGGGCAGATAACTCTTCAGAAACTTTTCAGGTGCAAAATGATCAGCTTCTTATTTTTTATCAGTCATGTGAATTTGGCTCATTTCACTTTCATCGTTATCTAGCAATGTATTTTTAACTAGTTTAAACGATTCAAAATTGTTCAAAATCCCTTCTTTATACATTGAATACCTTAAGTTTCCACGTCCGTCACTCTAAAGAATTCTATATATATATATATATATATATATATATATATATATATATATATATATATATATATATATATATATATATGAATTGGTTCAATTTGTAAATACAATGTATTTAAACATATTTTCATTTTTTCCTCTGAATCAAATATAATTGTGTTTGTTGGATACAATTTATAGACGATCGACTTGTTTACTAGCATAGCTAACTGCTTTTATCTGAATATGAAATATGATATATACAGCACATGGAGGATTGCCGCAATTGAAAAGGATGTTAATAGGAAGCCCTATAATAAAGTTAGAAAGAATATATTGTGTAGTATTTTATCCATTATTTTTTGTAAATAGCACAATAAAATAGATACAAAGTCTCTAAAACCCGTAAAAGTCCATAAAAATTACATTAAATTTCATTTAACTCTGAACAGCGAATTTGTCGTAAATGTAAATTGTTGCCGATTCCTCTTGTAATCATAGTCCATGTCGACCATCTGTTTTACTGCAATTAAGGAAAATGTCAGAATGTTAATTTTTTTTGATGTTTTACGTAGTCATGAATTTCATGAGAAATAAGATACATCCGCATAAAACAAGACACGTGGGCCTTAACAGTCACCCGAAGATTATTCCGCTACTTTCTGTAGACATTTTATCTGATTTACTTCTAAAAAAAAAAGTTCATTGTTAGACTTCATTATATCATAAAATATAATAGATATGATCATCTCTGAGTGGATAAAAATCAATTAAAAGAATTTAATTTTGTCCGTTGCCTTAAATGCTGGCAAATTTAATAACTTGACAGTAGTAAGTAGTTAAGAGTGGCCCTGGTGATCTAAAAATCCCAATAAATCAGTACTGTATTGTAATACCTTCTAAACGAGAGAGAGAGAGAGAGTTGTCTATCAGGACTCAGCCATATGATTACTGCTAAGAACAAAAAAAACAAACAAACAAACAAACAAAAAAAAAAAAAAAAAAAAAAAAAAAAAAAAAAAGATTTATCCATTTTATTTGCAAGGATAGGCTTATACAACTATACAGGTACATCTAGATGCAAAAGTCATCAAGTAACATTTTTTAGAGAGTCACTAATTGAATAATTTAATAAGGGTAACGAATGCAATGAAAGACCATAATTAATCTTGAATGATAAATACCTTTAAGTTCGTACTGAAAACGATCTCGCACGTGTTTTGCACGTTTGTTGTTATAAAACAAAATATCAAACGCTGCCTATAAAAAAGAAAATCGAAAACGAAGTTTAGAAGCAACGAGATCTTTCTAAACACCAAAGGTAAGAATATCGTTTGTTTTTTTTTTAATTTCATTTTTTTAGAATAATGCACAAAAATCTGTCTACCAAATTAAGAATATTTTTAACTGCATAATCTAAATCAAAGGACTTAAAACATACTGCAAAATCAGATTTCACCGATTTTTAACTCTTACATGTTGACACTTTCTTCATACTGTATGTTTTCTGATGAAATTACCTCTGAGCTAAATTTTCAGCATCGAGTTTGTATAGCATATTCAAAAATAAATATTCTGTACCATGTATTATATAACTTCCCCTTTAGGTCAGCAGACTCTCTCAGTTGACCTATTTCTTCTCCCAACTGTACTTTTTTCACATTTTCTCTGAGAGGGCCGAACCCAGTTAAATAAAATTTGATGTATAGCGTTAATGATTAAAAAAAAGAAATAAAATAATGCAAACTTTTTTTTTACAATATATATATTTTTTCAAATATATTATTGTTCTCCTTATGAATTCTGATATGTCAAGAGAAATGAGAATGAATGTGGTCTTTATGCAACAGCAAACGCCTTAGAGATATGTTTTGGTGGACTTCCTGAAAACACAAGACCGATGCAAACGTGAACAATTTATAGAATTTACCGTTTTGTTCGTACAGAATGCCTGAGCAGGGTTTCTTAATTAAAAGTGTCGTCAGTGGTTTCATCCACGCTTTCAAAATTCGACACTTACTGAAAAACAAATTTATAAAGAAATCGAAAAATCAAATGTATGGATTGTAAGAGTTGATAGATGATACTAAAATATAATTCCTATCATTTGTATAATTTTTTTTCTTCAGGTAAATGAAAACAGTACGCATTCATTTCAGTATTGTTTTTATATTATTTTTATATACATGGTAATTGGATGCATTTTTTTCCTCCACGGAATTGCATGGTAAAATTTATCATCCGTGCATACATGTGTATAGGAATTATATTTTAATATCATCTATCAACTCTTACAATCCATACATTTGATTTTTCTATTTCTTTATTTGTTTACAATGTCTAATGATGCTGATCACGTCTTCTAAATCAAAAGTGAAGGAAATACCAGCTAAAACTATACTTTGTTTTTTTTCTTTGAATAACATAAGGATTTTCCTCCTCACAATGACAAGGTTTTGTGATTTCGGAACTCGATTTTAAACATTTGATATCTGTTTAAATGTGTGATTATGCTGATTTTTTGTCTAAGAACACAGATCCTTCAGTTATTGGAACTCTTAAATTATACATGAAATAAGTAAATATAGCTAAAAACTATGTTGAGTGTATGTCATTAAAATGGCGTGACTGTATCTTTCAATCAGAAATAAAAATTGGTACTTTGACAAAACCATTCATTTTTAAATGAAGTAGTTTGGAAAGACAATACACATTTATAATGGATAATGGTTTTTGCACTATTCATCAAATAAAACATAAAAATTCGCAGGAATATTAAAATTTGTTAAAACCATAATGGTTTGCACAATTCCTGAAAATTGTCTTCAAATACAATTTATTTTATTTCGTTGTTGATATATTTGTTTTCATCCGATATCTTTTCCATTTATAAATCAGCTAGCACGATGCTTCGACTCGCTCTACTGGCATCTCTTCTCGTCCTCGTCACACCCAGGTACCCGCTAACTTGTGAGAGAGACCACGACTGTCCGAAATATACAGTCCTAGAAAGATACAATGCAAGTATTTCTTCGTACAGTCCTATGTTGGTAACACCTCTTTGAGGCTTAGCATTTTTTCTGGCTTTTGTTTTTGTTTCTTTCTCGGTTCTATTTATTTCAAGTAATTGGGATTTGCAAATTTAGCCTTAAAATGTTCTTTGCACTTTCAATATGATCGCAAAATTACATAGAAATATGAACACTTGTGGAAAATAAAATAATCTAATGATCTTTATTTCATCAACCATCGACTGATTATTAATTTTGCATATTACTTTGTTTTATATTTTACATAAACAATTTGAAAGACGCACACTATGAAAATTTTAAGCAAGTTAATTAAGATTTTAAAAAATCATATTAAAAGCAATTAAGCTAGTAAACAACTTTAATGCTTACACTTCAAGGAACAATTAACCAGAAAATATTTTGTTTCCGTAACTAGGGATACGAGTTAAGAAGATACGAACCGTCGCTGTGGGTCGGGACACGGAATGTAATGTCTTATTCCTGGAGAGACTCGTCTTTCTCTAAGTTGTTTTCCTACATTTCCGGGAACAATGAAAGAGGTACTTGTAATACATGATAAAAGTATTTCTATTTCAGTAAATCACATAAAAATCCGGAACATTTCATTGTTTAAACCAGTAACATGAACAACTTTCTGCAGGGCTGAAGATTCCTATGACTGCCCCTGTGCTAAGTATGTATACTCCTGAGAGAGGAATGTTTAATAACCAATGGACCATGTCGGAAATGCTGTTTATGGTCCCCCATAACATGAGGCGGTACGCCCCCCAACCAAACGACCCCACAGTGTACCTCAAGATGCTCCCCGAAATGGACGTCTACGTCAAGTAAGCATGACATAACTTGTATCATAAATCGCACGCTTCGATGTTGAACAAATTAAAACACAGTTAGGAAGTAAAGAGGACAAAAAATATAGTGGATCCATTGTTTATATGAAATATGACACACAAACTGTCATTAATTGGAAATCTGACAATTAAAATAACAAGACTTCTTCAGAATTATTTATCAGTCTCTGCAGAAGCTTACGAATCATCTTCTCAAAGTGACATATCGATGTCAAAGGTCATTCGAAGGTCGAAAAGCATCGTGCAAATTTTATAAGTTAACTTCTGTATGCTTGTTACATGAACAGAAAAAAATGATGAGGATCCTTTAATTCTGCATAATACACCAAGAATACTAATCTTTAGAACCATAACATCAATTTCCACAGTGAAAGAAAGAGGGTGCCATAGGAATTCAAGGTGTCAAAATTAATTAGTGATAAAAATTTTCTTATGGAAGAAGGAATTTTTAAATATAAATTTCTTTTTAGATCTTATGGTGGATACTCGAATTACAGGACAAAGCTTGCGAAATTCAGAGAACTGAAGAATGAAATAGATAACAGATATCTATATAATAACAATGCTTTCCTCTCTGCTGGGTACAATGGTCCATCAGACCCCTACAACATGAGGCACAACGAAATATGGCTGGTCGCCAGGCGCTAATTCTGTCATGTGTAATTTGATTGTTACATCAAACCGATACAAAACTGTGCACCAAGCAGTGAAACATGCCAAGGAACTGTAGTTGAATATAGATCATTGCAATGATGTTTTTTTTTATTTCAGAAGAAAAAAAATGCAATAAAGATATATCCAATTAAATGTCTTTTATTTATATTCCACTGTACATTTACTTTTTGCTTGGTAATCGATTAAGGCAAGAATATATATATATTGCTAGAAACTAGAGTGCTCCAAGGAAAGTATGTTTTGCCCTCTACAGCATCATTAATAAGATATAAATAAAGCTAAGGATAGACTGTCAGCTATTATTATAGTTCATGCATTATATCAGAGACATAAATAAATATTATATATATTTCTCTTATATACCATGCACAAAGTTCATGCATTATATCAGAGACATAAATAAATATTATATATATTTCTCTTATATACTATGCACAATAGAAATCATAATTTCTCTGCTAGAATGTGCTCCCTGGGACCGTCAACTGAAATGGGTTCTTTTGCTCAAACAACGATTTTCTTTTTCATTTTGGATCCTCAAATTAATAAAAAAAAATATATAGAAGCACCTAGGTATTGTTTAGGAGTCTATTTTGAAGTAAAACCAAGACAAAAAATATAAAGGGTTTTGGTAAAATCTTTGATCCGCCAGTCAAAACGAACAAAGGGACAATACTCGTCTAAAACGGACGCAGTCGGAAACACTCGGAAATATTGGGTACCTTGCGTAAGAAAATGACCGAGTAACTTCCGAATGATTAGATGTTACCAAGGAAGCATTTCCCATATGACAACAAAAGAGTTATAGAGCGCGAAAGTTGCGGATCGTGAAAAAGGAGCAGAGACTGAAAATGCAAAACACACAGCGAAGAAAGCAACCAGACAGGTTTGTTGATACAAACATGTTTGATTTGGGTTTCCACTTCATTAATATATTTTTATTTATAAAATTTAGACATGATATTACACCCTTTATATCCACCATTCATTGTTTATCATGATATATCATACGTAAAATAAAACAAGAAAGATGCATCAAAAGATAGCCCTAACAAGAAGGGGTCAAATCTTTTATTTCATAAATCAAGTGTCTTGATTTTCACAAATTCTAGGCCTACCCCTTTTGATATGAAAAGTTTCAATAAAATGACATTTTCCATGGAGGAAGTTCTGCAAATTTTATATAGGCCCACTATGTTAAAAAAAACTACAGGATGGCCTGGTGGGACAGAAAGGGTTCGAAACACCGACAAGGAAATTAACATTAGGTTAGTCAACATGTAGATTTACTAACTATGACTTGGCTAAATGTATAGATAGTCATGTATTTGAAACCTATGAACACAATCTGATTAATTGAATTTCGGAGCGTAACAAAGATCTGATTTTAATCAGATTGCCTATGAACATAGACGACTTTCACATTCCTAAGAGTTATCTTTCTTTGTCTCCGTAACGCTCATTTTTCTCACTAGGCCTATTTTCTCTGTAACTTACCCGAACAGCCTAAATATTTTAAACCTTTAAACGCTTTCGGACAATTTTGTATCAATGATGTATTGCCATGGTATGGGGCATCAACAAAAACACAATGAACACATACATACAGATTTAATCTGCAAGACGCCGCTCCCTAAAATAATACGTAATGTAAAACGAAAACAGTGGGTTAGGCCGACTGACCCCACATTGACCCGCAAAGGGAAATAACTTTTGTACTATTAAACAACAATATAGACTTAAATATCATGTGCAGTCTCCATTTTCACTAAGTATCGACTTTGATTACCCTACTTGCATTTTAAAGAAAAAACCAACATTCTGAAAATTAGACTGTTACAAAAAATTTCTAAATTTTTATTTTTATTCCTTTTTATCTTTATACACGTGAACATTTCTTTAGATTCCGGATTTTTACACCATATCTGCTTCGAGCGTTACAAAAAGAAATGACCCGGATATAGTTACCATGACTTCACACGAGTTATAGGCCGCGGAGGCTTTGGATGCAGGGAAAGACAGAGAGAAGAAAAAATAGATATGTATTAAAAAACAAACAAACAAAACAGGTTTGGACATTTTAATGCGTTTTACGACAATGTCATATTTTATGTTTATGATTTTTTACGCAAAATAACACATGAAAAACATCATACTGGAGTATGAGGCCTATGTATTGTTTACATACCGAAAACTGGTTTTTATCTATTTTAAAATGTGTGATTCCATTCTTGACAACAATCATTCATTTTTAGCTGCAAGTCTGTGTATTATCGAATTTCCTGTGGAAGATAAGGGGCATGGCCATGGAGACAAGTGTGCATTGTTGATGCACTCAAGTCACAGTCTGAATAGGTAGTGTTAGTGGTACCAGTCGCTAATGTCCCTGGTTTTGTGTATGCTATATACAAACCCAGTGGATTAAAAACTGTTTTGAGCCACTCACTCATAAAACTTCAGAATGTGACTTGTACTTAATCTTGGTTGTGATAGAAACCAAGAAACAAGACTGAGTCCACTTGCCATGAGCACACGTATTGAGGAAGGTAAGTTTATTTCATTCCCACATTTTTGTGTGATTGCATTCTTGACAATCATTCCTTTCTTGCTGCAAGTCTGTGTATTATCGAATTTCCAATGAAAGATAAGGGGCATGACCATGGAGACAAGTGTGCATTGTTGATACACTCAAGTCACAGTCTGTATAAGTAGTGTTAGTGGTACCAGTTGCTAATGTCCCTGGTTTTGTGTATGCTATAGACAAACCCAGTGGATTAAAAAACTGTTTTGAGCCATTCACTCATAAAACTTCAGAATGTGACTTGTACTTAATCTTGGTTGTGATAGAAACCAAGAAACAAGACTGAGTCCACTTGCCATGAGTACACGTATTGAGGAAGGTAAGTTTATTTCATTCCCACATTTTTGTGTGATTGCATTCTTGACAATCATTCCTTTTTAGCTGCAAGTCTGTGTATTATCGAATTTCCAATGGAAAATAAGGGTCATGGCCATGGAGACAAGTGTGCATTGTTGATGCACTCAAGTCACAGTCTGAATAGGTAGTGTTAGTGGTACCAGTTGCTAATATCCCTGGTTTTGTGTATGCTATAGACAAACCCAGTGGATTAAAACACTGTATTGAGCCACTCACTCATAAAACATCAGAATGTGACTTGTACTTAATCTTGGTTGTGATAGAAACCAAGAAACAAGACTGAGTCCACTTGCCATGATCACACATATTGAGGAAGGTACGTTTATTTCATTCCCACATTTTTGTGTGATTGCATTCTTGACAATCATTCCTTTTTAGCTGCAAGTCTGTGTATTATCGAATTTCCAATGGAAAATAAGAGTCATGGCCAAAGAGACAAGTGTGCATTGTTGATGCACTTAAGTTACAGTCTGAATAGGTAGTGTTAGTGGTACCAGTTGCTAATGTCCCTGGTTTTGTGCATGCTATAGACAAACCCAGTGGATTAAAAAACTGTTTTGAGCCACTCACTCATAAAACTTCAGAATGTGACTTGTACTTAATCTTGGTTGTGATAGAAACCAAGAAACAAGACTGAGTCCACTTGCCATGAGTACACGTATTGAGGAAGGTAAGTTTATTTCATTCCCACATTTTTGTGTGATTGCATTCTTGACAATCATTCCTTTTTAGCTGCAAGTCTGTGTATTATCGAATTTCCAGTGGAAGATAAGAGGCATGACCATGGAGACAAGTGTGCATTGTTGATGCACTCAAGTCACAGTCTGAATAGGTAGTGTTAGTGGTACCAGTTGATAATGTCCCTGGTTTTGTGTATGCTATAGACAAACCCAGTGGATTAAAAAACTGTTTTGAGCCACTCACTCATAAAACTTCAGAATGTGACTTGTACTTAATCTTGGTTGTGATTGAAACCAAGAAACAAGACTAAGTCCACTTGCCATGAGCACACATATTGAAGAAGGTAAGTTTATTTCATTCCCACATTTTTGTGTGATTGCATTCTTGACAATCATTCCTTTTTAGCTGCAAGTCTGTGTATTATCGAATTTCCAGTGGAAAATAAGAGGCATGGCCAAAGAGACAAGTGTGCATTGTTGATGCACTCAAGTCACAGTCTGAATAGGTAGTGTTAGTGGTACCAGTTGCTAATGTCTCCCTGGTTTTGTGTATGCTATAGACAAACCCAGTGGATTAAAAAACTGTATTGAGCCACTCACTCATAAAACTTCAGAATGTGACTTGTACTTAATCTTGGTTGTGATAGAAACCAAGAAACAAGACTGAGTCCACTTGCCATGAGTACACGTATTGAGGAAGGTAAGTTTATTTCATTCCCACATTTTTGTGTGATTGCATTCTTGACAATCATTCCTTTTTAGCTGCAAGTCTGTGTATTATCGAATTTCCAATGGAAAATAAGGGTCATGGCCATGGAGACAAGTGTGCATTGTTGATGCACTCAAGTCACAGTCTGAATAGGTAGTGTTAGTGGTACCAGTTGCTAATATCCCTGGTTTTGTGTATGCTATAGACAAACCCAGTGGATTAAAACACTGTATTGAGCCACTCACTCATAAAACATCAGAATGTGACTTGTACTTAATCTTGGTTGTGATAGAAACCAAGAAACAAGACTGAGTCCACTTGCCATGAGCACACATATTGAGGAAGGTACGTTTATTTCATTCCCACATTTTTGTGATTCCATTCTTGACAATCATTCCTTTTTAGCTGCAAGTCTGTGTATTATCGAATTTCCAATGGAAAATAAGAGTCATGGCCAAAGAGACAAGTGTGCATTGTTGATGCACTTAAGTTACAGTCTGAATAGGTAGTGTTAGTGGTACCAGTTGCTAATGTCCCTGGTTTTGTGCATGCTATAGACAAACCCAGTGGATTAAAAAACTGTTTTGAGCCACTCACTCATAAAACTTCAGAATGTGACTTGTACTTAATCTTGGTTGTGATAGAAACCAAGAAACAAGACTGAGTCCACTTGCCATGAGTACACGTATTGAGGAAGGTAAGTTTATTTCATTCCCACATTTTTGTGTGATTGCATTATTGACAATCATTCCTTTTTAGCTGCAAGTCTGTGTATTATCGAATTTCCAGTGGAAGATAAGAGGCA